TTCCTCTGGAAGTAGTGCAAGCACTAACAAAACCACATGCATCCCTGGGAAAGAAGACAAATGCAAAGAGGAGATCTAGAAATAGATTTTCTTCAGATGCTATGTGCTTGCAAGTCTCCTGGGAACCTGAGCAATGTAATGCATCCTAAGTGGTTCTACGCTCACCAGCTCGAGTCACCTGAAGGAGCCAATACAGCCTGGGCTGTCAGGAGCACATTGTCCAGAGAGAGCAAGAACTGAAGAGATTCCACCACTCAGGACAGGGACAAATACATGCCTAGCAGATCCATATAAAATACTTGTAAAATTCCTGACTTTTCAGAAAAAAGGAATGTCCAAATGTCCTTCTGTGAAAGCAGGGACATTTTTCTCCCATATATGGTAAATATAGCAGTACATTAATCTCAATGGCTCTCTTCCCCTAGCAGGTATGTGTTCATACATGCTTGTGGCTGTGGACAACTGAAATACACACTCTGACTGTCATCCTGTCCAGGTCACATCCAAGACCGTATTCTCTTTTCCTCAGCTGCGATGTATGTTTAAGGCCTCTGAATGCCCTAGGGATGGAATCTAAGGACAGAATGATGTCTGGGTTTTCTGCCCTCGGGACTGAGAATTGGCCAGCTTCAATCTTCTTGGAGTGGAGTGTAGTAGAAAGATAACACCGAGTCTAAGGTACTAAGTCTCTGGGCACTGAGGTTATATTTGGGATGAACCAACACAAGTAGATATTTCCACAAACCCCCTCCCCGTAACTGCAGAGATAATCTGGACTGTAGTTATGAAGAACCAGACTCTGCCTATGATGGTTAACATTGGTAGTCACCTTGGCAGGTGCTAGAATCACCCAGGAGACATACCTCTGGGCATGCTTGTGATTTATAGATTCAGTCAACTGAGCTGGAAAACCCATCTTAAGGTGAGTAGCATCATTGTAAGGGCTTGAATCCCAGAAATAATAAAAAGGAGAACATGAGCTGAACACCAGCACCTATCTGTCTGCGTCTTGGCTGCAGATGAGGTGTGACCTCACTCACATTCCTGCTGCCATACCATGATGGACCAACCTGCAAACCCGCAGCCAAACAACTTCTTCACTTAAGTTGCTCTTCATTGGAGTTTTTCACAGCATTGAGTAGTGAATATACTCCTTACAAGCAAACTGGGGGAAAACTCTCCTGGTCGGGATAAGCAGTGAAAGTGAAGTTTGTTTTCCGTTTGCCTTTTCTCCTAGTGAGTTATACACACACACACACACACACACACACACACACACATATACATTCATACATGCATACATATAAATAAGGCAAGCCTGGACTTCTCTGGCAAGTGCACGTGGGTTATCTCTGTGTTGCCATTTAATCTCACTGCAGTCTCGCTTCACCTATATGGGCAACATGGCTGAGCAAAATCAGAGAGTGTCAAAGAGAATCAGAAGCAAATTTTAGACCCGAGTGTCAGGGAATCTACACATGATTTCATGGCCATGGCATTATGAATGGCATCTGAGCTTCCTAAAAGCAAACAGATTGTTGGCTATGATCCCAAAAGAACCCACCATGGAGCAGGAATTTTTATTCAGGGCAATGGCTTCAGGAAGGTTAAGGGTGTCCCACAGACAGCTGGCTTCCCTCTGCTCCATCTGCCACCAGACTAAGAAATATCATCCTTACAAAATAGTTAAAATAATATGAGTACACAATTATGAAATTATGACACTCCTGTTATCAAAATTACTGTTTTTAAGGTAGAGCATATTTCTAGTTGATAATATGCAATCCAGAGAGTGTCACCAATTACCATGTGTTATTTCATTTATTGTAACTCAACCTGTTGTAGTAGCAAAGAAAACAAGTGTCAATAAGATTAAGTAATGTGCACAAGTCTGCAGAATGTGTTAGTAGCAGTCAGGATTTGAACCCTGACTTGGTTCCAAACCCTATACTTATCTACTATCTCCACCCCATAATACCCACATTCAGGGATTTACAGCTTATTGAGAGAGAAGGAACTTATAAGACATTCAGCCCATCTCCCCTCTGCTGCCTCAGTCATCCAGGCATTGCTAGTCCACCTTAGGGATAGAACTTTCCTAAGACAGCCCCTCACATTACTGGGAAGCCCCACTACTTCATATGGGATATCCTGGAGGTGAAATCCAATGACCCTGGTACACTTCCCTTTGTGGATTTTGAGTGTCCACTTCTAGATTGAGCACCTTCTGCCCCCTCCAAGTATTCTTCACAACCTCCAATGACAGCACTTCCCTCCGTTCTTGGAGCTTCCCCTGAGTGGATGCTGATAGTCACTGTCAACGTGACTAGATTTGGAATCACCCAGGAGATACATCTCTAAGCATGCCCGTGAAAATACTTTCAGAAATGCTTAACACGGATGGAAGGCCCACCCTGACTGTGAGTGGTACAATTCAGTGGCTGGAATCCCAGGACAAATAAAGGGGTGGGGGATAAGCCAGCTGAGCATCAGCGTTCTCTGCACTCTGCTCCCCTCGTCTCAGATGTGAGGTGTTTCAGCTGCATGTTCCAGCCCCTGTGAACCCTGCCATGCCTTCCTGTCAAACCAGGGGCCAAAACAAGTCCTCTTCCTTTAAGATGCTTTTTGTCAGGATTTTTGCCAACGCAGATATTGCCAATAACTGATATAGGGCCCAGAACTGGGCTTAATTATATTCCAGAATGAGTCAGGGCAATATGACATAATATCGTATCATTATCACCCTTGTTTGCATTGCTTCACTGTTTTATTCATATGTGATTTTAGAGAGATGACTCCCACTTGCTATCCAGCATAAATCCATAGTACCAAGAAAATATCTCCCAAATGCATGCTGTGAAACACCAGGATCCCAGTATAAGTAAACAGACTCTTAGCTTTCTACTGTAATCCTACCAGTTTGAAATAAACTACTCGACTTTCTCCACCATATATTGTTCAAATCATCAAGACATGTGTGCCTTAGAAATACATGGACAAAACAAGTCAAAACTCCTTCTACAGGTAGCCGAGTGTCTTGTGAATGTAAGAGGATAATATCTGAGCAGCCCTGTGAAAATGTTTGCAAAGAGGCTTAAGGAGGATAGAAAGCCCATCCTGAGTCTGAGTGGTACCAAACAATGGGTCCTCAGGAAGATCTGCAAAGCAAAGAGGGCATCATAGTTATCCCTGTGCAAATAAAGAGGTTTTGTTTTATTTAAGACAGGACACCGGTTCCTGCATATACAAGTTCTGGGCATAATAGGCTCCCCTAGCATCCTAGGGAATGACATTGAGGAAAACACCAAGAAAAAAAGTTACTAGGAAGAGAATAAATGCACAGAAACATCAGGACAGACCTTGTCACCCCTCCCTGGGAAGCAAGGCTGAGGATTCTACTATAGCAGAAGAGCTGCTGACCGTGGTCACCTGCCAGGCCAGCCATCAGATACCTGGACAGTCACACCTCCCAGTGGGCGGCAGCTAGCCAGAAGCTTGGGAGTATGGGGTCAGGAGCTCTACCCTGAATAAACTCAGAATGGGGGACAAGTGGCATGAAGTTTGGCCTAGGAAGTCAGACGCATGGTCCAAGCCTCCGAAGAATCTTGGCCTTTCCCATGACTCTATCAGCTAAAAGCAGGAGCAGCCCTACCTTACAGCTTCCTGTTAGAAAGAGACACTGTACCCTTGCTTAGCAATTCCTCTGCTAAGAGGGGTCCCCAGGGTTTCAGGTCTTCTTCGGGCATCAATACTTCCGTCCATCACGCCATCAGATTTTCTTACCAACATGGACAGTCATGTATAATGATTCAATTTGGGACATGAACACTAAAATGACCACCCTTGTTCCTCTTTGTCATTGCTAACACTGATTCATTGACTCAGGGTGCTTGAGCCCCCAATCCCCAGAACTCCAGTGTTCTAGGGTCCCAGAGCGCCAGCCCCTCAGCACTGAGACCCTCTGTTTCTTTATTTCAGATTCTAAGGTGAGGGAGGGTAGCCTTTGAGGACCCTTCTGCGACTGAGAAGGTGAGAGCACCTAGGGCCAGTCACACTGACATAGGTGTACAAACACGGGCCAAGGCGGGACTTGCAGGAGAATCAGGCCAGAAGAGCCTCGGTCCCGTGCAAAATGGGACACACACAGGAAAAGAAGAGAGGAATCTCTGAGCTCATCAGAGAGGCCGGTATGGAGAAAATCAGATGTTTATTATTTATGGGAGGCTTTTATTTGGTGGTGGGAAAGAATGGTAAGTATGTGGCACAGTATTCCCGGACTATAAATAACATGTAAATAGCTTCCTAATGAAAACCTTAAGGGGCCTGGCGCTGGGAGAGCTTCCGGAATACCAAAGCAGGGACAGGGAAATGATGTGCATTTAGCTCACAGGCTTTCCACCTGCTCTGTACTTCTTCTTACTTCTGTTCTTGAGAAAGCTTCACCTCATGGATGAAGGAGAGAGCAGGGGGAATGAAGAGCCTCCACATACACTGTGCTGTGACATCTGACCGACTACAGAGGGTGCCACGCCCTCCTCCCGAAAACAAACATGAGCCTGCCTAGAAACAGGACAACCCTTCCAGAGTCCTCTCTGCGGCCAGGACTTCAAAAAATGGCATGTCTCCTGCAGGTAGCTTAAGTTCTTCAGGATAAGAAGGGCCCCCTGTGTGCTGTGAATAGCTCAGCAGAAATGATTCAGGGTGCTGGAAACAGTACCGGAAGATACACCAGGCCCTGGCACTACCTTGTGTGACTTTGGCTAAATCTTTCTTCCCTGGACTCCAGTTCTCATATTTGGAAACTACAGAGTTGGGTTAGATATTCTGGAAACCCCAGCTGACCCCCGACAGCCTCCACCCAGATGCTGGCATGCACACTGGTGATCTGAGGAGGATGTCTCTCAGGAAAGCCCATTTTGCATTTTCTCAGCCTGGCTGAGTTACTCAGTGCCCCCTCCCTGATGACCCCACGCGTCCTCCGTCTCCCAGGCCACACTGACCTGCACTTCCCGTGTCAGAGCCAGCTCCAGTAGCTGGCCAAAGTGCTGGCCCAGCGTGCTCAGGGTCTCACTCACGCAGGCCTTCATTGACTTCAGAACATGCTCATTCTCCACCTGGAGGCACCTGGGAGGAAGAATCGCAGAGTGGGCCACCAGAAGGGGTCCTTGGTTGGACCACAGAGGTGGCTAGGGCAGACCTGGACTTTCTCAAGGCATGGTGTATGTCCAGAATAGACGAGATGGAAGACACAGTTCCAAGAGAATAAGAGATGATGATATCTGCCAGCTTGATTTGTTCCCTGGTCTCTTGCGCTACAGAGAAGGGCTGGAACCATCACATTCCCTGCTACTGGGAAGTGCTAACACCAGAAGGTGGCAAAGTCAGACCTCTGGGTTCTCGCTGGGATGGTGAGCTATCAATGGGACCAATCGTCTGGTCTCAGAGGCGCCTGAGGTGGAGGGGCACTAGCTTTGGAGAAGGTAGCTAGAGCACAGTGCACCACTACTGCTCTCGCTGTAGCTTAGAAGAATCGATGCCCATCATTAACAAGAAAGAAAGGATGGCAATACCAATAGATATGCTAACATGGAAGGGGGAGCATGGAGATCTCACCGCTAGACAAAGAGCCACAGACAACAATGACTGGCGGAGAAGTGTGGGTCTCTTCCTGGGATAAGGTTCTTATCGACTCTCCAATCCAGAGTGGGTCAGCCTTGACCCCACATACACACCACCAAGAAAAATGGACTCAGAAAGTTGGACTTATTTATATTTGTGCATGCGCATATGTACACAAACACACATGCATATATGTATGTAATCATAATAATAGGAATAAAAAGTACTATTAAGTTCAGAATGGGAGTCATGAGAGGCACTGAGGAAGGAAAGGGATGTGGAAAGACAAATGTTCCTATTTCAGTTTAAAACTTATTTTAACAAGAAAAACAAAAAATTGCTGCCACAATGTGATTTAAAAAAGAAGAAGAAGAAGAAGAAGAAGAAGAAGAAGAAGAAGAAGAAGAAGAAGAAGAAGAAGAAGAAGAAGAAGAAGAAGAAGAAGAAGAAGAAGAAGAAGAAGAAGAAGAAGAAGCTTCCTCAAAGATTTCCTTACAGACAGAAAAACTAGAGGGGATTAGATTGACCTCCACCCCATGGGTTGAAAATCTCCTGCTCAGAAGAGGGGAAGACTCTCCAGCTTCCCACAGATGCCAAAATCCAGATTTGAGGCATGAAGGGTAAAGGAACATGTCAACACACACTCAGAGTGAGTCCATATGAAGCTAAGTGGTATGTGTGCACCTGAGTGTGAACTCATGTATGTTTATGGTATGATACAGGGGCAAGAGACTGTGGGCAGAATTCTGTGATCTTATGAGTGTGTGTTTATATGTCTGTGTGACAGTGAGTGAGTGTCTGTGGACATCTCTGTCTCTGCGCATGTGTGTGGAGGTGAGAGTTCACCTTTCACCTGACCTGCGCTCTTGCCTTCACTTTACAGGCCATGGGGGCCCTCCAACTTTAAAGTAAACCTTCTCCCATTGTCAGCTTACCCCAAACAGCTTTCCACTAAGGCCCAAGGCTCTCTCCCAACTTTCCCTCTCCCCAGGCTCTGAATATGGGACAAAAACCTCATGGGAACCTTTCATTATTTTATTTTACTTTTTGTTTCTACTATACAGTCCTTGCTGGCCTGGAGTTCACTAGGTAAACCATGCTGGACTTGTAGCAATCCTCCTGCTTCTGCCTTCTAAGCACTGCAATTGCAGACATGTATATCACTACACTGACTTCAAGGTAGTCTGTCCTTTGAGGTTTCTGGGAATGCCTAGGGAAAAGAAAACTCCGGCCTACCACCAGCTAGTGGAACCCCCTGAGAAGATACCCTTCCTCCCAGAGCCGGGGGGGCCAGCAGGCTACGCAGCCCAGGCACACTTACCTCTCAGTGACTGCCGAGAGCTCAGAACATTTCTCCATGAGTAGTTTCTCCGCCTGTAACCAGAAAAGATCATGTCATTCCATTGGGGACCAGCTGCTGTGCTGGGTCCTCTATGGCCTGAAGGTGAGGGAAACAGGCACAGAACCCAGAATGCCCTGTGACCTGGGACATGTGTAGCCAAAGAGGCCAAGGCTGGATGCACCGAGAGAGTAAGAAAAGGCAGCAGACAGTTAGTTAGACTGTGAGATCTGCGAAGCCTTGGGGAGGAAGAGGCATTTAAGCTGGGTTCAAAGAAGGAACCAACACCCGCTGCCTACAGTGAAGGAAGAAGTTTAAGGTGAAAGATGAAGAAAGAAAGGAGAGAAAGAAATCCCAATAGGGAGGTGGGAGTTCAGTGGTTTACTTTTGACTGTGGGAAGATTCGAATGCATTTGGAATCAGAAATGCTGGGTCTGGCCCTCCTCCACGTCATTCCCTGCTTAACGTGGGACAAGCGACTCAGCCTCTGAGTTCACCCCCTCAACCATAAAATGGGCGTGATAATACTAATCTTTTCAGTCAGCTGCGTGACATGCCTTACATGTCATTATTCAGTTGTCCTCGCGGGATAAATATTGCTGTAATCACTGAGAGAAAGCACTAGAGCAAGGAGGAGTCAAGTGACTTGCCAACGTCACATAACACAGACTGATCATTGAAGCCACGCATCCTGTTCTAGAGCTCTTTCTGCTCACAGTGGGCGTGTGGATTAGAGACATTTGTGGAGAGAAAACACCTGCCACAATGCCTTGCAAGAGTCTATCTCCATTAAATGTCCTCACTATCCTTCTCTACTTTATTACAAGACAAGGGAAACCACTAGCCAGGAAAGGTTCAGACCCCAGAATATAGAAAGGCTTCCTCCCACCCAGCACCCACTAGCCCTATCTTGGCATGGCTGACCTGGCCCATTTCCTGTGAGGAGGTCCTGCTGATGGTGCTGTACTCGCTGACCATGGAGCGTGCATGGCATGTCAGACGCACACTCATACTGTGCACACGTGCCCAGCGGTCCTGGGCCAGCTTCTGCCCGATCCTGCGAAGCTCTGTGCTGATGACCCAGCCCCGCTTCAGGAGCAGCTGTAGTGGATCTCCTGGGCCAGGAGCCCCTGCTAGGATAAGGTCACCTTGTGTGTCTTCCTCCAAGCTGATGGGCTTTGCCTGCAAGACGCACATGCACTCACACTCGGTCATGAGCTTCAGGTCCTCCATCCAGCGCTGGACCGAGTCCACCTGCATGAAGGGTAGCCTGCAACCAGGGAACAGCGGCAGGGTGACGGCCAACACTCCACCTTTCCCAGAGAGTTCCCGTCCCAGGCCTCCGATGTTGGCCGAGCATCTAATTTAAGCTCAGCACTCTTTCCCCAATTCTCTCCATAATTTCTCATTGTCATCACCCAACAGCTAATAAGATGGAGACACAGTACACTGAGGGCAGGTGACCAGACTGATCTATGGCAGGCCATGACTCCTGATAGGAGGTATCAAATTGCAACAACATAAAGTGAGCTGTGGCAGACCTATATGGACATATTGTGTGTACGTTCTTAAAACAATGCCTTCTAGAAAGTTTGACAATGAAAATAGTCCCCCAAAGAAGAAGAAACAGCAGTGTGCACAGGCTATAAGCAGAAGATGAAGACAATGATGAAGACGTGATAATCTAGAGAGAATCTTAGAAGGAAAGGTAGAAGTCCTAAGGATTCGGGGAGGGGGGTGGCATCAAAGCCTCTTCCCTTCTGTCCTTCAACTTTCCTGACTTCCAGTTTCTCTGTAATGCGGATGTAAACTTGTAATGAGCCAGATTGACTGCATTTACTCCGTAATTTCAGACATTAATTAATGAACACTGAATACACTGTGAGTCACTGTATCTAGTGTCCCGTGTATGTCAGGTACTGCGGGGAAGCTGACACAAGGAACTGCGGGGCAGCTCAAAGGAAGAAGAGGCGTGGGGAGACAGCAGGAGAGCTCACCGTCATCCCCCAGCATGGCAGGACAGTTGATTACAAGCTCAATACATGTGTGACCTATGCACAAGCTGGCCACTGGGATTAGCTGCTCACTGCTTCTAGTGGGGATGCAAATGGGACCAGCCACCTCATGTCCCTGTGGCCACGCCTCCACCATGAACTGAATCCTCTCACATCATAAACCAAAATGCACTCTTCGATATATTACTTGTCTCAGGCATTTGCTCACGACAATTAGTTAGATGTAACTAGTACATCTCCCAGGCAGAATGACGAAGCTTTGCCACTAAGCTGCATTAATCTGATCCTCTTCCTATGCTGTCAGTCTAAGCCAAGAATCACAGTAACTGGAGCTATTGCTAATGGTTGTGCTAATGGTGGAACTTGGGCTGTGCAGGAGAAACTCCAGGACCACTGGGTTCCAAGAGTTATGCCTGTTGCCTGTTAGCTGCAGAACTCAGTCTGAAACACACAAGAACACACCTGTCTAGGCAGAGTTTAATCCTCACTCTCCCATATAGTTAAATGTCTTCTGGGAATTGAAAGGAGGATGAGGCTGTCTCTTCAGATAGAGATCAAGGCAAGGTGTTATCGGAGGGGAGGGCTATAGGGCATGGTACTGCTTGGACACACTAAGGCAGAAGAAGTATATTTGAAGTATGATAGGCAGAGGGACAATGCATCAGTCCCTTGGATTAGATTTGTACATTTGAAAGCGCAGAACAGTGAGGAGACAGAAGGCCAGAAACATGGCCTTTAGGGTAGGATCCAGACATTAATGCTGAAAACCCTGATATGCTGTTGAAGGGTGACAGGGCAGTACAACAGGATTGGAGACTGGAGCAGATAGATAATAGGTAATTCACAGAGTTAGGGACCACGTTCCAGGGCCAGCTCTCAGTATACCACCTTGAGATGAACATGAGCACCGGATCTTCTGAGTGGAGACACTCTTACCTCTGGATGGCGGGGTGTGTTAGCCAGCTTTCTGTGGCTGTGACAAAGCATTCAGGGATCTCACGATGAAGCAAGACCTGGTTTTGCTCATGTTTTCAGAGCTTTCAGTCCATGGTTACTGTGGTGAGGTACAAAAGCCTCTTTCAAGGGCCTTGTCCCTACAATCTCACATCCTCTTACTAGGCCCCTACCTCCTATTCTTCTCAGCAGCTTCTCCAGCTGGGAGCAAAGTGTTCAACAAAGGAACCTTTGGAGGACATGTAGGAGCCAAATCATAACATTTATCAAACTTGGGGATGCATTGAAAGAACATATTAGATGCCTGGAAACAAAGATGTCCATCCTAGACTTAGTCTAGTAAGAACACTGCATAAGAAAACAAGCCAGGTGAGGAGCTTGCTACATTCTTGAGACAGAATAATTAGAAGTTCATGGTCGTCTTCAGCTATGTTCAAGGCCAGATGAGACTACATAAAACTCTCTAAAAAGAAATAAATGATAAAGACCAACAAAGCTAATTGAAGGAGAGACTAATGGAATAATGGAGAAGATGGGTGCAAAGGCCCCTTGTATATCTAGAAGAAAGTCCAAGTTACAGATAAAGAATAGAAATTTATGTTAACATCAGATATTTTTAGACCAACATCTTATTCAAAAGTAGCCACCATGCAATGCTCAAGGAAATGAGCTGAGAACCAAGGATTTTTCTATCCACCCAAAAAGATTCAAATAGAAGATGGAGAGGAATTTTGAGCTCCAGTAGAGAAAGTGTTCTTGGAGAACAATCCTTCAAGAATGGTTAAGAAAGAAACCTGCAGAAATGGCTCAATGGTTAAGAGCACTGACTCCTCTTGCAGAGGACCCAGGTCCTATTCCTAGGATCCACATGGCATCTCACAGCCATCTGCAGCTCAAGTTCCAGGGATCTGAGGTCCTCTTCTGACCTCCATGGGCACTGTGCAAGCGTGTGGTACACATACATTTATGCTCTCAAAACACTCGCACATATAAAATAAATAAACAAATTTTAAATGCTCAAGGAAGGGTTGGGGTATACTTTTGTGGCAGAGTACTTGCCTACCATGCCCAAGGCCCTATGTTCAAACCTCAGAACTGAAACAAAGACTATTACTAAGATAAAATCATGAAGACATTGACTCTGGTTCGTTGGTGTAGCGAATGAGAGAAGAGTCAAAGACCAGACCCTGATATGTAACTGCAGTAGCAAAACGGGTGCAGAAAGGAACTGGGAAGAGGATGATGAGCTCTGATTGAGACAGACAGACAGACAGAACTCTAAAACACTCTCCATTTCTGCTTTTCAAGGTGTTCAGTCTTTCACCGCCCTCATGGTTCTTCCTTCCACATATGCTGGTGTATGTTCCACATGTTCTCACAGAGGCCATCTGAACATCCATTTTTCTGTTTAACCATCATTCACATAGTGCCTGTGATGAACAGGAAGTGAGATCAAACAGCAAATAAAACAACCAGCATCCATCCCTTTATGGAGAGAACATGATAGGTAGGAAAGCAAGTAATAAGAACAGAATAAATGAAAACTGTGTGGTGTTCAACAACTGATCATTTCTTCCTGAAGGTGAGGCAGAGTCAGAGAGATCAGGAATGCTACTGTGAAGGCAGAGGGGTCGAGGACAACAGAGGGGCTCAGTTAACTAATCGATAGGGTTGCAAAGACTGAACTGACAACCAGGGAGTCTCCATGGGATTTACCTAAGCACCCTGCATATATGTGACAGTTGTATAGCTTGAGCCTCTTATGCGACTCCAAACAATGGGAACCGGGGCTGCCTCTGACTCTTTTGCTGGCTTTTGGGACCCTATTCCTCATACTGGGTTGCCTTGCCCAGCCTTAATATATGGGGAGTTGCTTAGTCTTACTGCAACTTGATATGCCATGTTTTATTGATACTCATAGGAGACCTGCCTTTTCCTGGATAGTGATGGAAGGGGGGGGATTGGGGGTAGGAAGGGTAATGCTGGAAACGGACTTAGAGGGGATGGTGGGGGAAGGCTGTGGCTGGTATATAAAATAAATTAATTTTTTAAAAAAATTAATAGAGTGTTCCTGTGAGACATAAGTAAGTCATTGCCATGTTCAATGAGTGGCCATGGCAAAGCTTCCTGAGAACGTAAATCCCGAGCAGACTCTGCCAAGGACGTGATAAAATATGGAAACGGAGTGATTGTGGCAGAGGAAAGAGCCCAGGCAAAGGCCCTGGAAGGGAATTACTGGGGAGACTGCACAGCTATAGTGTATGGGAAAAAGATGAGTAGGAGGTGAGCTCTGAAAAGAGACTGGCCAGCACGCCAGTGGCTGCTGAGGCAGTGTAAACACTTTGGATTTCGCTCTGAGTCATAGAGTGCTTCTTGGATCCCCCCAAGGAAAAACATCCCAGTGCCATCTGGGACCCTCCCCTCCCCCAGTTCATGTGCCTCACTATGACCCAAACGGTCCAATGGGGAAACCTGTCTCTCCCTTCCCTGCTCTCTCTCTCTCTCTCTCTCTCTCTCTCTCTCTCTCTCTCTCTCTCTCTTTCCTCCTTCCTTTCCCCCTCTCCCTCTCTATCTCTCTTCCTCCGCCTCTCTCTTTTCCTCTCCCTCCCTTCCTCCCTTCCCCCTCTCTCATCAAAACAAGGATAGATTAATTTAGAATGACCTAACCTCTGTGGTGCAAAACTATATACTGTTTACTAGGCAGCCAATTTAAACATAATAATTTATGCAATGAGTTATAAATAATTGACAGTGTGGTTGGGGTTTTAACTTCCAACCCTTCTGCCCCAGGCACTGATGGGGTTAGAAAACTCCTCCACTGCGTGTTGCTTAAGGTTTCCACCGTGCTCCTCACTCTGCCGCTGCTCTTTCTGAGAGTCCCGTGCTGAGTGGCACCAGCATGAGTCTCTGCAGGGCAGTGGGACAGTCAAGTCTTTAATTCTGCATTCCTATCCACGCCTAGCTACCAAGTTAGCTGAGCACCATCGCCACTCTGCAGTGCTCAGACGGCATGTTTCCCCATGTACCCCGAGTGCATCTGTGCAGTGCTAGGAACATTAGTGAGCGCTTCTTTACCTCAGACGACTGTGCAAACTCCCTCCGTCCACCCCTCATGTGACAAATGGCCTCCTGTCCCCTCTGCTCCTCCATGCTGTCTCCTGTCTCCATGCACTGACCTTCTTCCCCAAGCTGTTTTTACCCCCAAATTAGCCAGAAACTCCCACGTTTATTATTCATTCTGTCCACTTCATATTTCCTTTCTATGCCCTATGCCATTTTTTTTTCATTAAAATGCTTGGCA